CCCAAAAGACGATCGATAAAACAATGGTGAGAACGTTTTTTTACTTTGAATTTGTTATGGAACTTGTGTTTTGTTCATCTATTATGCGTATGACTTATAATTTTTCCTCCCCTAAGTTAGATTTTATGCAAATTAGAATCATCCTTGTTATGTGATTTTGCAATTTGGATCTTAGGTTGATAGTTTAACCTTCTAATTTAATTTACCCCCAAATTGATTGCCTAAGAAGTTAAAATGGGTTATGATCTAGTACTATAGATGTAGGCTAGTGAAATTATCAGGTTAATCTACACCTTTCTACATGAATAGAAACATTGTTGTTAGAATGGTGCAACGTTAAAGAAATATACAAACACTGATATTTTTTTATGGTTAGGGGGACTAACTTTAATATTAAACTTAAACATTCTTACAACCATCAAGAGGGGCTAAGGAAAACTATTGTTTATGATTATCAACTCTATTAGAATTACTTAAAAAGATCTAGTTTTCAGAGGACTAATTTAGGGAGGCTTTTTATCATTTGCTCAAACTGAAAACTAGTTATAGATTTTACTTCTTGCAATATTTTGGATTAGATACTTTAAAATCCTCAAATTTTGAACCATTAAGCTAGACTTCAAACTAGCAGGCTAGAAAATTTTCAAACTTTAGGAGTTTTCTCATCCATCGTAAGATAGATCCATGAACTGTACTCTACAAACTATATAGACAAAACGTAAACTTGCACTATTTGTCGGTGCTTTGCATTATTTTAAATGCATACAAAGGCAACAATTGTCTAAAAGGGACTCTGATTTTAGGTAATGACAGTCAGTCAGAAGACAACACTAGTCTAAAGTGGGAGGGGGGTGGTGGAAACAACAACATGGGAGACACATTAGCTAAAAGAGGAAAATAGTGGTTTCTCCCTCTCATATTGGTCCTATTTATAAACCAAAAAACAAACTTTTAGTGCCAAATACCAAAAAATTGAAAAAAATTCTCTTGAACCATTCACAGGTGCACATGTGCTTACACTCACGCAAGTGCACATGGTCGTGTGATCCATTTTGCTCTCTGCATAGGAGGAATTTCGGCCCATCGCGTCGCATCTACAAGCCCGCATAGTTGCACTTTGACACAAGTTTTGGCATGACCCAACCCACTCTAGCTCTCACAAAGCTTGCTGACACATGTTGCAACCTAACCCGATCCACCGCTACACCACCACATCACCAGCCTTAATAAAACCACCGCCACGCTACTCGTCATCTGTCGCCGCTGCTTAAAAAGTCCGCGACGCTTTGGCACGCAAGCATATGTTTTTGTGCTCAAGATCATGTTCTGTGTGCATAAGCATGATGTGCGTGCCCGCGCACATGCACTCCTGCACAATTCCGCTCGCACCCAAGCGCACACCAACTCATCCTCGCATACCCTATTGTGCCCTTCTTGAGTTAATACACATTTATATACCCCACTACATTGTGAATGCATAATTAAACTCTTTTGTTTGTACGAACACAGGTGTTACGACATGCAATTGTAACTGGTCATCTAGACACCTAACTCCCCATTGTAGCTACCATCATGGGAGTAAAATTGTTCAGCTGCCACTATAGTTCTCAGACCACAATTGCTCAACCTCTTCCAGCTGTGACAACAACTTGATCAAAACCTTACAATGTACCTAAGACAAATGTAACCATCTCACAACACAAATTTCTTGAATATTTATTTTTGAACAAAACAAAAAACATCACTTGAAAGTAATCAGACAAATGATGCCTCACGAGGTAATTTTACCATTTCGCACAAACTTTCAGAATTTTTTTTGAACAAGAAACATTTCAAATTCAAATTAAAGAGCGTCAAGGGCCTTGATTCCAGTAAGTTTATAGTCAAAATTACTATCTTAACAAAACAAACCCGATGATACCAAATTTGGCTAATATGAGTCCAAAGTGGTTCAAATCAAGAGAGTAAAGCATATTTGGAGGCTTTGAATCATCAATCTGGTGGTCAAACGAACTTTAAATTTGGCATACTTATTTTAAATGAGCGTCTTGACTAGAAGAATCTAGTGAGTCTAGCCTTTATTAATTTTGATGTCATTAATGCTTTTGAATCATAAAAAAATTCTCTATAATCAAGGAGAATCAATATGGACGGTCTGATCGGATGGTTACATGAGTTATTCACTGAATGACCAAAATACGCTTCTCAGGTGTTATAAATAAGTCTCCTCTCTTCACTTAGAGGAGGGAGAGAATGAGTAAAATTTTGGTGTTGTTCTGGACTAAAGACCCGACAATAACTTTCGACCTGATAACAGTTGATCATCGTCGACCATCGCTCGTCGGCAGTCATCGACCACCCCCGACCACCCTCAGCTCTTCGTTGGCGAACTATGTTGTGTAAGGACATATCCCTAAATACTGTGCAATTAAGTATCATGAATATGGAGTAACGACGTATCATAAATTTAATGTAACATATAATACCACATTAAAGATTTGATGATAGCTTCCGACGACTACATACAATCATCATAATCAGAATACGGCGACTTTCTTCGAAGTCCTACAATTTTCTATATATTGTGCAAAAATAACTGTTGTACCTTGTGTAATATTCGTAATTGTGGGACAACGATGTATCTTTATAATTACACTTTTAACATGAATTAGTTTGACGGAGTTAGATCTCGTGTTTTCCTTCAGTATATGTATTTTTTCACCTAAAAAGTTCTAGAATATTCTGATGTTGTTTCTATTTTATTTATGTGTGTGTTACTTTTCAATCGATGACGAAACATTAAATTATCACTACGGTCACGAGGCTTCTAGGAGGCAACCATATGTAAATCTTTATTTTACTAATGAATATAATCATATCAACCAAATTATAAAACTCAAAGCAGCTTCTTTAAGATTATTCACGTGCTTGTACAAAATATGTAAGGAAATGGTAATCAAAATATTCTGCTCGAAACTTTGAATAAAATTATATGCTAACATTTGTTTATTCAAAAATAAGCAAAAATATAATAATTAATGGATTACGCTTATTTCGAATAATTATAGATTTTAAGAAAGATTATCGGCATTTTTTTTAACGTGTCACTACATTCATTTGTTTATTCAAAAATAAGCAAAAATATAATAATAATTAATGGATTACGCTTATTTCGAAGAAATTAAAGATTTTAAGAAGGATTATCGGCATTTTTTTTAACGTGTCACTACATTCGTAGTATAAAATGCATCAAATTAGTTCTGAATATGTACCACATGTATAAAAAACTAAATTTTGGCATTTAAAAAAAAAACGGAGATATATCATCAATTTTTTCAACATTTATCAAAAAAAAAAAAAACACATTTTTTTATCTAAAACTAGGATGGAGATAAATGCACATATATTCTATAAGCATTTAAAAGATTTGCATACATATCACTCAATTTTTATATATATATGCGCCGTGTATTCAGATCAGTTGGTCGGGGATCTGCTTGTTAGTTGTAAGTCCCCTCTGGTCTGAAGTTCGATTCCCTCTGTTGGAGGGTGTGGTACTCGAAATATTAGGTGCATCGAGAATGACTGGAGCTCGTATAACAGGATCAGACGAATCTTTTAATATAATATGTATATATATATATGGTAAAAAGAGCTGCTTATGGCTCCCTAAATGTTAATAAGTTCAAAAAGTACATCACAATGAGAAAGAAAGAAAACAGGATGGGAAGGAAAAAATAAAAAGAGAAAATGCTACAAAAATACAAGAAAGCCTAAAAAACCGAGTATTCAAAACAAAACCTCCCAAAGAGTGGGGAGGTCTTTCCTATCATGTAATCAACCAACTGTGAAGAGTCCACCTCAATTTGTAGGGGGGTCCACAAGCCTTAGGTGAGGGCCCATAAAAAAGGTCCCCCTGAAGCAAAAAAAAAAAAGAAGTGAAGATGAAGGAGATGTAGAAACTATGGCCCTTTGGGATTCAGCTCCCCTTTTAGCTAGGTAATTAGCTGGTTTGTTGCCCTTCCTTTAGATAAACTTAAGTTCCAGCTTCATATCTTTCAATATGGATCTCATATGTTTGATCCACTGGTTAATATGCCATGGGGTGGTACTCCTTCCTGACATATACTCCAATAGCTGAGACGAATCAGCCTCCACCAGTATCCAATTCCAGTATCCAATTCCATTGATTCATTCCATTGATTCATTTTTGCAAGCTTTAAGGCCCAGTACATTGCCATAGTTTCAGCCTCCATAACATCCTCTACATTGATTGGTGATTGATAATGAAGCACACAATTTCCCTTACTGTCTCTGAAATCTCCTCCAATGCCAACTCTTTTTGGATAAAAGCTTTCATCTATGTTTACTTTTAGAAAAAGGTGTGTGGGCTTGTTCCAGAAAACCTTCACATTGTATATGAGAGGACTGACCTTGCCTTACAAATTCATGATGTTGGAGAAGTTCTTCCATTGAATGAGTTTTCTGATGAAGGTCATACTGTTTGTGACCACCTTCCTTATGCTTAGCTGTTGGTCCTCATATTTTAGATTGTTTTTGGTTGTCCAGATAAACCGGGTAGCAATGAAAGGAATGGCCCCTAATTTGTTGTCTTTCCATCTGTACTGCCAAAAGTGAATGTTGTCATTTCCCATGTCCCATAAAAACTGTTGTTCAGCATCCTTTCTAGCTCTAAGCATGTTTACCTAGGTTCTGGAGTCCCCAAGTCTCTTGGTGACCATATTTGGGTGGTTAACCTGCAGTATTTGGCTACACACACACACACACATTTATACATACTTTGAAAAATTCAAATAGTGATAATTTTTATGTGAAATAAAAGATTTGAGTGATCTATAAATTAAATTTATATGTTAAATATATAAATACATAAAAATTTAGTTGTATGCATGTAAAAGCCCTTATAAACTTTCACCAAAAAAATGAGAGAAAGAGAGAGCATTGTTTCAATCGCATAAAAATCCCAAAATTGCTAAAAATTCCAAAAAAAACTTATTATTTCTTTGCCAAAATGAAACAATCAAACAATTAAAATAACCATCCCTAAGATTTGTACCCTCCGTTAGTAACTGGGTACCCAATCCCATGCCGGGTCGTCGGAAAAACAACAAAAAGCATACTACAAATTACTCCAATTCCCAGCGGCAGAATATCCAAAACCTCCTTCGTCTTTGTGTCCGGCGACGGGTAAAAACACTGCACCACGTTCTTGTCTCGCAGAGAGACCGCCACGAAAACCAGAACCGACAACACCCCATGAAAGCAATCAATGATCCTAATCTTATACTTCGTCAGATCCGGCAAGGTAGCGAGATCTGGCGGCGGATCGAAGATCCACATGCCTCCCGGAGTAGCCAGGCCGTAGATCACCCGATTGTCCTGGTGCTGGAAGCTATCTGTGAAGCAGGCGAGAAAAGCGGAGGACCCGAGTACGAGGAGGAGGAGGAGAGTCATTAAGCTAGTGGCGGAGTCGCAGGAGCCATTGTTCGTGAAAGATGGGATGAGGAGTTGGAATGCGAGGAGAGTACCGGTGGGGAGGAGGTTGGCAAGGTTGGCGGTGATGGCTAGGGTTTGGGAGAGAACGGTCGTGGTCGTGCTCGTGCTGGTGGTGGCGGCGGCGGATCGAGGACGGGAGGAGGAAGGATGTGTTTTGTTATTGGCAGGGATTTGGGATTCTTCTGATGGAGATTTCTCTCGGCTGATTTGGGATTTTTTTGATCTGGCAGACATTGTTTTTTAGCTTGTAGGAATTGGGGAGCCTAGAGTTTTAAAAGCTTTCGATTACACGATCGGGGAGTCGCGTGGGCATTCAGAAGTGTTTGTTTATTAGACGTTTCAAGTTGGATGATGTGATGGTTCACCAAATTTTTGGAGTTGTTCTTTTGCCCAAGAAATAGGAAACTTCTAAGTTCTAACAACTCTTTTTTTTTTTTTTTTTGAGGGGCAATTACATTCAGATCACCCAATGCTTTCTATTTACAAATCAGCGACATTCTTCTTTACAAATCAGCCACATTCTTCCACCCGACCTTGGGGTTATCACACCACAGGTCTGTAATTATGGCGTGGGCACATTAGATTTCTTGCGTGGTTATGTTATTTTACTGCCATTTTTTGTTAATTTTACTAGCTTCAAAATACTTGTATTCAACACCTGAAACCTGCACAACATCAACAAAAGTCTTTTTCAAGTGTAAATTTGTGATAAATTAGTAAAAATAACAAGTAAAATAAAAGATAAAACGCAGCTTAAAAGACATAAAATTGACACATCTCAATACACTCTACGAACACATCAAAGAAACCTACTATCATGGGGTGAGAAACCTATCAAATTACTATGATTCATCCTCTACCCGACAGAGTAGTTTCTTTTTGGCAATAGAGGCTCCTTATTTATGGGTGGTTGACAGGCGACAGGCGACAGGCGACAGGCGGCAGACGACAGACAGCACTTAAAGGACAACCGAAGTTGACCAGCTGTCCCATAATGCCCTCATCACGACAGGGTAACCTTGTAATTATGCACACGATATCCCCTCTTATAATCAGGAGGACCTTTCTACAATAAAGGTCAATCAAGTAGTCATGAAAGACTCATTTTATTTTTGTGCTCTCTCTCTCTGACTCTCTCTCTCTCTCTCTCTCACTCGCTTGCTCTTTCTTCTATTTTATTCTCCCACCCGACCTTGGGGTTATCACACCACAGGTCTGTGATTATGGCGTGGGCACATTAGATTCTAGCGTGGTTATGTTATTTTACTGTCATTTTTTGTTAATTTTACTAGCTTCAAAATATTTGTATTCAACACCCGAAGCATGCACAACATCAACAAAAGCCTTTCTCAAGTGTAAATTTGTGATAAATTAGTAAAAATAACAAGTAAAATAAAAGATAAAACGCAGCTTAAAAGACATAAAATTGACACATCTCAATACACTCTACGAACACATCAAAGAAACCTACTATCATGGGGTGAGAAACCTATCAAATTACTATGATTCATCCTCTACCCGACAGAGTAGTTTCTTTTTGGCAATAGAGGCTCCTTATTTATGGGTGGTCGACAGGCGACAGGCGACAGGCGACAGGCGACAGGCGACAGACAGATCAAAGTAGTTGACCAGTTGACTCAAGTTGATCGAACAAAGTCCAAACACTTAAAGGACAACCGAAGTTGACCAGCTGTCCCATAATGCCCTCATCACGACAGGGTAACCTTGTAATTATGCACACGATATCCCCTTTTATAATCAGGAGGACCTTTCTACAATAAAGGTCAATCAAGTAGTTATGAAAGACTCATTTTATTTTTGTGCTCTCTCTCTCTCTCACTCGCTCGCTCTTTCTTCTATTTTATTTTTTATTCCTTTGATGTGATTAAGAAGACAGATTCAGTTCAACATTTATATTGTGTGCTTTAATATTTCTTTTAAATGTTTTGTATGAAAGGACTAATGAAAAAGGAAATGTTCCACTAGATCTATGGGGAAATGCAGAGAAAGAGATGAAGTTTCTAAGAGATCACGGGTGATGATGAGTAAAGAAAGTGGATACGTCTTTGCTCAAGTTCCTCTTATGTGTTATTTTCTATGAGTGTGTCCCTGAATAGTTTCTCATGGTGTTAGCTCGTCTTCTTGTTCACAGCATCATCCATGCTCACAACACATTTTAAATTGTTTAATCCAAATATGTCTAATAAATCATGCCCGGGGAATGGAGCGTAGGACCAAAGAGAGGTGGTTGAGAAAGAGGAAAAAAATGAGGGAGAAGAGGAAGACTTCCTCCAGTCTAGGGGAAATTGGGTGTTCCCGGACTCCTGAACCTACATTATTCCATAAAATTAGATGATTCAAATGAGGGGTGCCCCAAAAAAGGTCCCCCTTTTTTACATCTTATTTATAAAAAATAAGAGTATAAGATACAAAAATTACATATTCGGCTATACTTTTGAAGAGGAAAGCAAAGAGAATTTTAACCCTTTTTATTTCGACTGTTGGATCATTTAGAGATCGATGCAGACTTTCATGTCTATATTTGTCGACCGACTGAAGTAAGACGGCTAAGGGATAGAGCTTGGTTTGTCGACTGAAGTGAAATACTTGAGGGAGAGAACTTGGTCGGCCAATTAAAATGAGGCGATCGACTACTATTGCCTCGAGATCCGTGCGGATCATTTTTGAGCTTACACCAATAAAAGCTCTCCATATGCAAAAGCGTGTGATACTTTGCTCATTTTAATTGATCCGCCTAAAGAAGTTGGCCCTTATTGTTCTTTTATACCTTTTTTTCTTTCGGTGGATAAAAATATTTTGAACTTTGCATCTACCACTTTATAATGTTCAAACTTAAGTTTATACCATTATTTGTGATCTACAATATGTGAATTATACGTAAATCAAATTTCTTTAATATTCATGATAATTTAACCATAAATTAAACATATAAAAAAATACATGATGAACCTGCCAACATATAAAAGATCTTAATTTCATCAATGTATTTCACATATCACAATCATTCAATACATGCCAAACAAGTGCTATTTATGCACATCAAACCTTTTCTCCACTCCAAATTATTATTTCAACTCAATTCTATCTATGCAAAACAAATATCACAAACATAAAATGAATACTCCTAATAATGCTTCATTATCTGATTTAGTAAGTATAGTTTTGAGCAAAAAAAAAAAAAAAATTCCACATATTAATCCAAAACATCACAGATTCACAAAAAGAAATTTATGGAGTTCCATGTTCAAGAAAATGAATTCAAGTTTAAAAAGATAAAGAATAAAAAGGAATAATCAATTAAACTCTTACAATCCTAATCTAAAAAAAAAAAAAAAAAAAAAAAAAAAAAACACTTCAATCTTCTGGTCCTGCCATTACCATTCTACTAAGAAGGCTTGGCCCAATCTTCTTCCTCCTCACAAACTCCATCTGATTTCATCTCCTGCTCTGCATTAACAGTGAGTTAAAGAACCTGTGAGTGGTGCAGTGAGGGGAAAAGATGCAGAGCATCAGTGGAATGAATGATCTCAACAATTTCTGAAAGGATGATTTACATACACGCCACTTATTTCTTATGCATTTACATATCCAACTCCTGAATTTTAGCATTTGCATCAGTGCCACCTTACCTATGCATGAAAATATATATTTCACTTTTTTTTTTAAGTTGAAGTTGTGGTTTTTTTTGTGTGGTATGGAAAATTTGGGTGGTATAAATGTTAAAAAGTTTAGATGTTAAATATGTAAATACATAGGAATTGGGTGATATGTATGTAAATTTGTGAAGAACAGATAGTGGCAAGGTGGGCCTTCATTACACTTTGTTTATTCTTCTCACTCATTTTTTTTCTTTTTGGCAGTGACTGCTTTGGTTTGGTAGGGTGCATTGCAATGTGAAGGCAAGGGTTAAGTTCACTCTCTAGTCTTATGGGGCTACAACCTTTTTGTTAGTTTACCCTCCTATAATTTTTAGGGAAATTTACATTCATGCCTCAGAATGCTTTTATAACACACAATTCTTTTATGGAATATTTACCTACATATAACTCAATTGTTATATATTAACATATCTAACACCTAAACTTTTAAATTTTACAAACTGGCCACCTTATCCATGCATCAAAAAAATTAGTTCAAGATTTAAAAGTTAAAATGATGCTATTTTTTATGTAATATTAAATGATTGTTTGGTATAAATGTAAAAATTGAAGTTTAGGTGTTATATTTTTAGGTGTTATTAAGAAATTTTTATCATCTCACATGAATCTTCAGTCAGCTTTTAGCAAGAAAATAGTTCCATATTCAAATTCAAAATTATCCTAGTGCACAATTTCTGAAAGTTTGTTGTCAAACTGACTATATACGAGACGAACCCAATGAAAAACAAATTTATATAAATTTAAGTCAAATGAAGCCCGAATTAAACCATTAAAACACATTTGAAGTTTTTGGGTCATTAATGGAAGAGTGAAAAAAAATCAAATTTTATGTATTTAAAGACAATCAAGTATATTGACAAGAGGAATTAGACAAATCTAAGCTCAATTGATTCTGAGGTCATTAAGGCCCTCAAATTATTGAAGAAAACCAATAAGTTTAAGGGGCTCAATTTGGGTCTTCCGATAATATGTTTGAGGAAGTTATTCACAAAAAAACCAAAAGGCCTCTACCACAAAAGCTATAAATAGACTCCCTCTTTTCAATTGAGAGGAGAGAAGAAGATAAGGAATTACAAAGCTTGTTCTGAAATGAAAATCTGACAATAACTTCTGGATTCTGTAGTCGTTGACCACTAGTGATCACTGCCCAATGGCCATCGTCAACCACCAGCAGCCACTACCGACCACCACTGGTTGCCTCTGCTCACCTCAGTCAGTGACCCCTGCTTGCTAACATCATTTCTCAAATATGACAGTTTGTGTTGAGAATCTGGCGATAACTTCTAGCCTTCGTAGCATTCAACCACCATCGACCACTGTATTTCGTCTGTTGTTGACCACCATCAGCCGCCCTTGCTCGCCACCGGCAGTGACCCCTACTTGCTAATGTCATGTTCCAATTATGATCATAACATTTAAAAACGCAGTAAAGGCCCAAAGATAAACATCTAGGCTTCAAAACCTCTGACCACTGCCAACTGTCACCACCTACTGTAGCGACAATGCTTATGACCATTGTATCCATAATATGATTGTTATCCCAAACACATGTATCATTTTTATGTTGTATACCAACAAATGTAGTGTCAAATATAAAATTGTAAACCCGTTCTATGAGAATGGAACAACCCCCAACTACTATCTTTTTGGTCAACTAACGCTAATGTAGTCACCAACTACGGCCTATGTGGCAAA